GCTTAATACTTTTCTTTCACTTTACGTCCTATGACCCAGTGATGTATACGTAACTTTACCGCTGCTCTGATATTACATTGGGCATTTCACAGACCTAATGCTTCTGCATCCTGCAGCTGGAGAACCTTTCTTCCCTGTGCCCACCACTGAAAATCTTGTCCTGTTATCAAATGAAACCTTCCTCACTGAAACCTTCAGTAACACACCCTGTCAATGTGTTTTTACAGTCTATTACAATAGTTACCATTCTGTATTGTAATTAGTTTTTCTCTTTCTGTTGACCACTAGATTGTGGTATTCTTAGAAATGAAAACTACATCTTATTCATTGTATCCTTCCCAAAGTCTAACATAATAGCAAATACTCAAAAAATGGTCTTTAAATGAATGATGGGGTTGAAACATATGTACATTTGTAGAAACCAAAATGTACTCATGTACATGAAACATACGTTCAAATGTAGAGAACCAAATCATTATTTTTCTTTTTTTTTTTTTTTTGGTTCTCTGTCTACAATTCATGGGTCTACCCACTCAGGCCACTACTCAAGCCTTCCCATACACATACCTGGAATCCAAAGGAGCCTGTTCTTCAACTCCCCCCACTTCCTATTTAACTAACTATCCAACCATCTCATAAACAGTAAACACTATCAAGAAAATTCCTGCCATCCAAGATAAGGAGAGGTGATTAACAAGTAACTACAGATATTTAAGATCATTTCAGCTAGTGATCAATTAGATGAATAAAATAAAGCAATCTGGGTGGTTACTAGACCTGGGAGGGTGGGAGAAGAAAGGGGCTCAAGAAAGGTGATTAACAGACACGTGACTATACATAGGAGAAGTAAGTTCTAGTGTTTTATAACACAGTAGGATGACAACAGAGTTCATAACAATATATTAAATATTTCAAAATAGCAAAAAGAGAAGATTGTGAATGTTCCTCACACACACTCAAATAAATGTTTGAGGGGCCAGAAGGTGGCATGGTGGTTAAGGGCACTGGACTCCCACATGGCTGACGATAGTTCAAGTCCCGAACCTGGTGGCTTTCTCTCTCTCTCTCTCTGTCCCTCTCTAGTCAAATTAAAAATAAAGTTAAATAAATAATTCTTTAAAAAAATAAAATTAGAAAAAAATGTTTGAGGTGGAGGACATGCTAATTACTTTAACTTGCTAATTTTAATGAAATGCACATACTAAAAAGTCATATTGTATTCCATAAATACTATAATTGTGTCAATTAAAAATGTAAAGTACAGCTGTTCTATCCCAAGTGAGGACACTGCCTATGTGCAGTGACTGAAGCCACATGGGAGGTGAGGGTTCGGTTCTCAGCCCAACCTAAAACAGGCCAGATGGCGGTGTGTGTCTACAGTCCTAGCTGACTAGGAGGCTGGGGCAGGAGAATCATAACATGGTATGACTGTCAAAAATCTCTCTCTCTCTCCCCTCCCCTCCTGAGTGCTAATGTTATCAGATGGGAAGCTGGGGAGCATTGCGAGGGGCTGGTTGGTTTGGGGACACATAATTCTAAGGTTAGAGACTCATCCAGAGAGACAAATAAAGCCACAACCCAAGACAAGTATGAAAGAGAGAAGTTCAATGGTATGACCAGGAGATTCCAGTGGGCACGCTGCCAGGTGATGACTGTACTGAGAATGGGATTAGGTATTATTTTTATTGTGGGGTGTTGTCATGAATATTTAGGAGGGGAGATCTGACAATGTAGCCTGCTCTACTGTTTGTTATCATGGGCTTCTGTTACACTTGCACACTTCTTGCCTGGTAAAGGGAACTCAAGTGCCCAGAAGGGAGAAGTCATACACATACCCAGTGTAGACATTGAAGGTGTGAGCATGTGCACAACGACAATTTTGACCATTCCAGTCTAGTGCTACCAGTGGAAGGTGAAGCATCAATCAAGCATCTGAGACACTATCTTTGTGCACATGCTTTGCTGCAGGTGGTGAAGAAAGTTATATCTCTGGATCCTCTCCAGACAGGTTAGGCAGTAAAAGTTAGATAACCTTTCCCTTTCGGCCCCAGGAGTCTGGCTGCAACCCCTAACAAGCACGAGTGATGTGTCAGATGCCCTTCTCACTGTGTCTTGAAATTTCCTGCATATATCTATCTCACTACCCACCCCTCTCTCCCACCCCTCTCTCTCTCTCCTCCCCCAACACACATACATACACACACACACACACACACAATTTCATGAGACAAAATGGGCTAGAGGGGATATATGCTACCATAAATTGATGGGGGAGAAGTTACTGAAGGCTTCTATGAGAAGACAGCATGAGAATGGAGGAGAAGGGATTGTGGCATGGCCATCCCCCCTGGGGGGGTGATTTCTCGCTTTCTATCTCTCTGTCTCTCTTTGTCTTTCTGGCGAGCGCATGTGCCCTATAGCGAAAACCTCTCAAAAAAAAAAAAATAATAAGGACAGCATGTAAGTGGAGGCCTGAAGGATGACAAACAACCAGGTATACAAACATTTAGGGAAGAATTCTGCAGACAGAATGAAGTACAAGTGTGAAGGCTCTAAGGCAGAAATGCATTTGACTATCTGAGGGACAGTAGAGACAGTGTGACTAGAAAAGTTTGAGTTAGGAGAAGTAAGGCCTTTTAGGTAGTAGCCTTGGTAAATGCCGGCACCTGCCCTGAGTTTAGAATTTCCTGGTTTACATGGCTTGCAGTCTGCACAATCTTCTACCTACTAATGCTAGAGCAAGAGAATGATGGAATAGGATATCTGGTTCACTCTATTATTAGGATGATGCAAATGATTCTGAAAATACCTTTTCTGCCTTCTGCTGATAAAAAGTATTGCTAGTAACAAAACCTGATATGTATAAAGAATAAAAGCACCTGAAAAGAAAGTTCTTTTTTACTGACTATAATGTGAAAATTATCCTAGATTCATGAGAGGAAATAAATTCTGTACTCTCCAAAAATATATATGGACTACAAATTTCTTTTTCTTTTTTTTTTTTTTTAATTTAGATTTTTACCGTAAGGTGGGGCACATGAACTCACCAGAGAGAGAAGGAAAGTGAGAAATCACCTCGTGGGGGAATGGCCACACCACAATCCCTTCTCCATTCTCCTTTTGGGATTTTGGGCATGCACACACACATGCTTAGTGTTTTTTAGGTTCCAGTCCCTAACTGCTGGGTAAGGGACTAGAACCAGAGTCAGCCATGTGGGATCTAGTGTCTTAACTGCCAAGTTCCCCACTAATCCCAAATTTATCCTTTCAAATGAATTAATTTTTCATGCCCTTGTCAACTTTTAATATAAATCTAGACCTGAGTGTTAGATTTCCAGTTTCTATTTTTCCAAGGTTTTTCTTCATCTCCACAGAACTTAAACAATTTTCTGATGTTTTGAGAATGTACAAATGTATAAGCATGGGAAACTGCCTCTCCACAAGTTTTATGGATGCTTGTGTCATAATTTATTTACTGCAAGTAGTACTGGGAGGTAGAAACAAAGTCAATCCATTACAGAAATGAATATTCACAGAACTAGTTGCTAAAGTAACTCAGCAGTTGCTAGGAAGTGAAGCAGTGTGAAATTACACATTTTACTCCTATTCTCAGTCGCATCTGCTGGCTGTGCTAGCTTGAACATGAACACATCTCTAAATATAAAGCCTCTTTCATTATCCTAGTTAGGTCTCGAAATTCCAGGTTGCCAGCCTTCTACCGGTAAAAATAAATTCATTCTCAGCATCCCTAAAAGCAATTCTCCATAGTTATCTCTTCCTTGTATAGTGATGTTTCCCCAGACTCTCTGAGTGAAATCGGAGGTAAGAATTTTTCCATCTTCTTTTGCAGGATCAACAGAAGTAGCGAGATAACAAACAATAACCATCTTCTGCTCCTACCCCCCCAACCCCCCAAGGGACATTTCTTATAAGGAGTCTTCATAGTAATCTTTAGTCTCAATGGCTATGAAGAAAAAGAAAACATTTTAGCTGAAAAAGGGACCTTTTCTAAGCTAATTTCTGCCTTTGTGCACTCATAAGGTCTTTTATTTATCTTCCCCACTCACCTAGGGAAGGCCATTAAAAAGTATATAAACACATGGGGCCGGCATGGTAGTTAAGGTGCTGGACTCCCACATAGCCGACTGCAGTTTGAATCCCAGATCTGGTGGCTTAAAAATTAAGCCAGAGGTGTGTGCGTGCATGCCCAAAACCGAGAGGAGAATGGAGAAGGGAGTGGGGTGTGTACATCCTCTGACGGGTGATTTCTCACTTTCCCTCTCATTGTCTCTCTCTCTCTCAGGTGTGCGCACACATCCTATGGCAAAAACCTTAAAAAGTATATAAATACCTAATACAACGTCCACCCAAACTCTCATCTTCAAACTGGTTGATTTTATCATTATTTATCGTTTTACCCAGAAATTCGTACTTGAAATAGAAAATCCATTTCCATGATCAGAAAATAAATTACACAATTTCTCCTTGGAGTTCGATCTCAATCAGAACATTGGGAACTCCAAGAAGAAATGTAAGAGCTGTTGGAAAACCTCTCTGAACAGGATGTTTATGCTTGCAAACTAAATCTGGACAGTACTAAGGATTTGCTCTTCTCTTTTCAGGGTTAGAGTATGACAGTTCGAAGAACAAATAGCATCTGCATCACCGGAGAGTTTGTTAAATTAAGTGCAGAATTTAGAGCTCCTCCTCAGATATACTAAGCCAGAATCTGCATTTTACTGTTATCTGTATATGTATCTACCTACAACATAAAACCTCAGAAGTGATATAAAATTTAGAAGTCAGTCACACACAGAGATGAATCTTGGATAACAATGATAGCTAATAATCACAATCCCCTTTACAAATTCTTTATTTCTTATAACTGGTTCTACCTAAAGCAAAATTTCTCATAAAACTATGAACTGCTTATCTTAAAAACACACCAAAGCTTATTATAGCTGCTGTCAGTGGAAGCCATGACATAACCAGGTTCTTACCTAATCTGAGCTCTCCGAAGTTCCCACACCCTATCTTCTTGCCAACCCTGAAGTTGGGTCCCACCATAAGCACCCCAGAGGATGTCGAGGAACCAGATGGTCGGGAACAGTGTGCACTCCTTTGTGCCATGGGTTTACTTGTCCGCTGTCTTTCATCCTTTTCCCTACTAGGATGGTCCATGATCCAGCACAACTGGTCTCTGCACAACGAGTAGCCTCGGCGTATATACCTCTTCAGTACAAAAGTACGTCCACATAAACCGTAGTCAGAGAAATGGAAGGAGTTCTTTTGGCACCATGTTTATGTTTCTAGTGTATCTCCAGGAGATGAAAAACCACTGATTAGTTCCTGTAGGACATGTAGGCTGTAGGTCTCAAGCATAGGAGGTCATTTTGTAACCTAGGTAGGAATCAAGAAAACATGCCGTTAAAAATTAAATTTTAAAATAAATGAAGACTGTCACTACTAATTAGAATGGATCCTATCCAAAGATGAGCAACGTGGATAGCTTCCTGAGATGAGTTTTGGTTTGCTATCCTCCAACAGTTCAGCCATCTGGATTAGCTATTCAAGTGGCCACATACGCTCAGTAGGCTGCAGACCACAGAGGCTAAAGGAACATGCAGACTTCAATACGACATGCTTTCTTCGAGTAATGTACATATGATCAAAAGAAAAGTACTGGTTTTTTTTTTTTTTTTTTATCACCCGCTAACAAAAAGATACAGTGGGGTTAGAGTCAAGTTAAATAGAGAATAATTTAATTAAAAGCTCTTACTTTTAATTTGGCCAGACTCAGTAGAAATGAGATTACTTATTCTCCCACACCCATATTTACCAAGCACTGGCAGCAATAATACAACCCACAATGCTACCTATTGACACAGATGGCCTCCATTAGAGAATTTCCAAAAATCTTATTGGGACTAAATAATCCTAGAGTAAAGCTTTGAAAAGCTGAACTTGTCCTGTAGTTTCCTCTGTGAACTGAGTATGCAATGACAGAGTGCCTGAAGGAGACTGTAAAGCCAAGAAACAAAAAAATCTTAAATGTAACATTCTTCCCTGACAGAATTCTCTAGTATCCAATTCAGGACTGAGCCCAACACAAAAGTTTACAATGAAACAATTTTGATATTATATTTAATAATCCATGCGAGGGCCCTTAACAAAAAAAAATACTCTTATCAATCACACACTGAAAATACTTTCTTAAGTACTTTCCTTAAAACTTTAAGAAAGAAATTAGAACAACAGCTTGGCCATTATCACTAGTACACAACAGAGTAAAAGTATCATTATACCTTCCTGAGGACACCTGAGTCCCTGCTACGGTAACAGGTACAACCCCAGGAGCTAACTGTACAAGTGGGCACATGATCCAAGAATGTCATTCATTTGCTTCATGATAATACTTAAACTGCTTATTTTCATCTTTTCTGTTTTTATTTGCATTAAAACTATAATGATTAGGCTTCCACAATGCTAATTATCAATAAAATACATTTCTCTAATTCAAGAAACAATAGACTTACATATATAATGTATATTCTATAAAGGGGGAGAAATAAGAGTGGCAAAATTAGGTCAGCAATTACTGGATTTCCCACATAAAAGACATTATTATAAATTCCTGTTTCTCATTATTCTTTCTCTTATTTCCAATATCCTCTGGTTATTCTTGTCTTGTACCCAAATCCCTTAAACAATATTAGAAAGAAAAGAGAAATAAAATTTAAGATGTTTTGTTTAGGTAACCTGATAGTCTTGATCTTTAAAAAAAAATTTATTTAATTTATTATTTAAAACTTGACTAGAGAAAGAGAGAAATGGAAAATGACAAAGCAAGCCACTGGGTCTAGGACTCAAAATGCAGTGAGCCATGTGGGAATCCAGTGCCTTAACCACCACCTGTCAGCCCCCATAGCCTGATCTTAATCGTTGGCAGTGTCTGTGTAACAGACTATCAGTTGTACTTTCTTCCCTTATATTAGAGATTGTCTTGAGGACAGAAACAGTATGCAATCAATTTCTGAGCATTTAACTGCCAAATTTTCATGAATTATTACTAATATAGTAGTCGCATTTACTAAGATTTGGAAATTGCACTACCTTGTCTATTTTTCTTCATATTTTCATTTGTATTTACTATTTCTCTAACAGGTGAAGATTATTTTTAAAAGTTTTTTTTTTCTTTTTTTGGAGAGGTTTTTGCTATAGGGCGTGTGCGCTCACTAGACAGACAGAGAGAGACAGAGAGACAGAAAGTGAGAAATCATTGCCCCCAGGGAATACCCACACCGCACTCCCTCCTCCTCCATTCTCCTCTCAGGATCTTGGGCATACACACACACACACACACACACACACACACGTGCCCGGAGTGAGTTTTAAGTCACCCCGTCCAGGACACGAACCGTGGTCGACTACATGGGAGTGCAGCAACATAGCCATTACACTAACTGCTGGCCCCAACCAGAGTCATTTCTTTACCTCCCACAAACATGGCAGAAACTCACATTTAAAGAGTCAGTTTGCATGGGGGATTGGCATTCTCTAGTTTCTACAATCTAGAATATGAAAGATGAATATTATTCAATACTATTTTATGTTGCACCTCTCATTCAAGAAATCAAATGGGAGCTAGCAGTTGGCATAATGGCTATGTCGCTGGACTCCCATGTAGTCGACCGTGGTTCAAGTCCCAGAACTGGTGGTTTAAACTCATGCCGGGCGCGTGTGCATGCGTGCCCAAGATCCCGAGAGGAGAATGGAGGAGAAGGGATTGCGGCGTGGCCATCCCC